ATTGGAGTGCCCAGCATGTCAGGTAAAACCATCTCCAAAAACTTGACTGGGTCACCCGATTCACAGCCCTCTGGAAAGCCGACAAATCGCAAATAGTTTTGTCTGCTGCGGTCCTCAGGAACGGCAGCAGGCAGGTGAGAGTGCAACTGCACGCACTGTGAGGCAGAGACTCTTGGAGCAAGGCCTGGTCTCCAGGAGGGCAGCAAAGAAGCCACTTCTCTCCAGGAAAAATATCAAGAACAGACTGATATTCTGCAAAAGGTACAGGGAGTGGACTGGGGTAAAGTCATTTTCTCTGATGAATCCCCTTTCCGATTGTTTGGGACATCTGGCAAACCGCTTGTTCGGAGAAGATAAGGTGAGCGCCACCACCAGTCTTGTCTCATGCCAACTGTAAAGCATCCTGGCCTGGAAACTCCTCTGATCTTAATCCCATAGAAAACTTGTGGTCAATCATCAAGAGATGGGTGGACAAACGAAAACCTAGGAATTCTGACAAAATGCAAGCATCGATTGTGCAAAAATGGACTGCTATCAGTCAGGATCTGGTCTAGAAGTTGATTTGGTTGAGAGCATGCCAGGGAGAATTGCAGAGGTCCTGAAGAAGAGGGGTCAACACTGCAAATATTGACTTGCTGCATTAACTCATTCTGTCATTAAAAGCTTTCGTTACTCATAATGATTGCAATTGTATTTCTGTATGTGATTACTACATCTGACATACACACATGAAAACCAGAGGCCAGCAGATCATGTGAAAATATAATATTTTTGTCCATCTCAAAACTTCTGGCCATGATTGTATACTGAGCTTTGTCATCAACAGACTGGTACTGAATGATGCTTAAATGAATCAAACTTTGCCCCACAGACAGACAGATACCACTGGTCTTCTAGTCCTGGAGCAGATATTACACGAGTACACAGCGCAGTAAACGGGAGATCCCGCATGTACTTGGTAGAGGATCGCTGATTGAGAACTGTGATTGGGATCAATATTAATTAGGGCTGGGTATTGTTCAAAAGTTTTCGGTTCCGGTACCAATACAGATACCTTCACTTCGATACCGGTTCCTGAACGATACTTTTTTCCATACCAGTTTTATAATATCAATTCGAAGAAAAAGAAAATTACACAACATAAAAAAGTACAAATCTTGAGTTTTATTTTAAGCTCTGATTTTCCCATTTACATTTTTCCTCTTGCATAAAAAAAAAAAAAAATCAGTGTCTAATATTCACTGTCACATTGTGAGGACCTTTTCACTTAGCAGTTTTCCTTACATGTCTGACAACCAAGCCCGTTGAATGGGATCCTATTGACAGCGCACCGCTGGTATGTGGGGGTCTGAGCGGCTCCGACAGAAATATTGGAAGGCAGGATGAACTGACTGCACTGATTAAGTTTTCAGGTGGATTTTCCCACTTAAAAACATAATAAAACTACTTTATTCCCACTGATCACAGCAAATATAGCTGCAAGGCAGAGAAAGGATAGAGTAGCTCCGCCCAACGCGCGTCAGAGCCACTTTTCGACCGAGCAGCCAGAGCAGCAAAGCTTCTTCAGCCGCGCGCCAGAAGCTGGTACAAGCAGCAAAAAAAGAAGCAGCAGACGTGATTTTGCTGCTCCCGCTGTTTGAAAGCAGCATGCTTCACTCCGCTCTGGCTTTGCTCTGCCCACGGGCTGCTGAGAGGAGGATGGTTGCGCCGGCTGCGGTCCGCTCTTCTTGCAGTCAAACACCGAGCAATATTCTGCTCTTAAAGGAATAGTACACCCAAAACATGATTAGCCTTCATTTTCTACTCACCCCCATGCTGAACAACACTCTGGAGTACTTTTTTGATATCTCAAATGCATCTGGAGATCTGGGAGGCTTCTTGCTGTCTGCTGACATTCAAATAATGGAGGTCTACGGTGCCCGAGACAGAAAGGTCCATAAAAGTCCACAAAAACGTGTCAATATTCCTCCATACTGCTCGTCCAATGTATTCCAAGTGTCCTGAGTGGGTAGCATCCAGAATTTACTCGAAACGAAGTCATTTAGAATGTTTTTAGAGCATAAACAGTAGTGTACAGCGCGTTCAGGACGCTACGGAAGCCGGCAGACCAAACCAGATGAAAGTGCGCATTCAGCGTCTGCTCTGCCGATAATGCAAGCGTAGAAGAAGAAATGTGCTGTTTACCTGTGCAAAGAAAGAAACAACGAAAGAAAAATGTCTGAGGACTTCAGTGTTGAGGAAGAGCATGAGTTCTTTGCCGAGCTGAATGCGCTGGTTTGGTCTGCCGGCTTCCGTAGGCTCGTGAACGCGCTGGCGCGCGCTTTCAGGAAATACTATACACTAATGTTTATGCTCTAAAAACATTCTAAATGACTTCGTTTCGAGTAAATTCTGGACGCTACCCACTCAGGACACTTGGAATACATTGGACGAGCAGTATGGAGGAATATTGACACGTTTTTGTGGACTTTTATGGACCTTTCTGTCTCGGGCACAATAGACCTCCATTATTTGAATGTCAGCAGACAGCAAGAAGCCTCCCAGATCTCCAGATGCATTTGAGATATCAAAAAAGTACTCCAGAGTGTTGTTCAGCATGGGGGTGAGTAGAAAATGAAGCCTAATCATGTTTTGGGTGTACTATTCCTTTAAATTGTTTCAGTGAACGATGTATTGCATTGCGCACTATTGGCATCAGTCTTAATAAAGTGAAGGCGCGCTTTTGACCTGGGGGGCATTTTAAAGGGGTTCCACGACGCTCGCAACCAGTTCACAACAGATACACATGAACCCTGACTGTAGGAGTGACCACCTGTGTATTTTTCCTGGATGACGCAATCACGTTAAGTGTTACAGCCAATCACCGAAACTTGGTACCGAAAGACGATGCATGTTTCGATACTCTGTAGAACCGAAGCATTTCGGTCGGTACCATAAAAGAACCGATGTTCGGTACCCAGCCCTAATATTAATGCTGAGCAAACATTAAAGGAAGAACACATTATCTATTTTCTTTGGCGGCGGAGTTCAGTTCTCATTAAAATCTGTGGACATTGTTATACCCGCAGCTGAATTCTCTCACCAATTAACATCTAAGATTTTGCCAGGTAATCTGTAAATAGATCACCAAACTATAGCAGTAAAATTGCCTCTGAGGACAAACTCTGAGACCATGACTTTCAGGAGTGGCATTACCTTTCCAATACAGCAACAAATTAAGTAAAATCTTTACAATCTACAGTAGTTACTAAGTGCTTTTTTGAACAACAACTCAAATGCTTAGCACACAAGCTAACATTATTCTCGAAGCATAACACACACAGTCCTGAATCGATTCAATTTTGATTCATACAGTTCTAAACCGATTAATTTCGATTTGATCTGTTTTAAAAAAAAATGAAAGTGGTTCAGCTGTGTTTCAAAATACCCATGTATTTTATTTTTTTCCTGTCATATTAAACGCAAAGTGCAAACTTGTAAATCGGACAGTTTAAACCTGAGATGTAAAATAAAATGTCTCAAAAGTGCACACTTGCCTTTGAAGTGAAAAAGTGAAGCCTCACTCAAGCAATCAGACGTGACACATCAGACATGCATGAGCTGCATTATCTCCACTGTACAAACCATATGTGCAGCGTTGTTTGTAACCAGGGTTCCTACAACTTAAAGCAAGTTAAATTAAAGACTTTTTAAGACTTTTTAATGCCACTTGAAATAAAAATTTAAGACCAAATTCACAAGAAACACAAGAAAAACCTGCTTGCGACAACTTTACCAAAGGTTTATTTTAACATAAACCACTGCACTAATGTTTCAAATTTTGAAAAGTAGGAAGAAAGCTAAAAACACACAAATGACAGATATATTTTAACAATTATTTAACTGAATTCACAAACTTTGTATTAGCAGGAAACAAAACAAATCAGTTTTAAAGCCACAACAGAACCAGTGCTAAGTCTTTTTTGCAGCTATTTTTCTTTGTATCGTTTTCTTAGTATGTTTGATTTGGTGATAACTGGAGGCGTTGCAGAGACAAGGGTGGAACAAAACTGAGAAATACCGGCTGTTTCTCCGTAACTCCATTTTAACGCTTTGTGTTTCTTGCTTCGCATGCGACTCCACTGCCTTAATTCCCATCATTCCGAGCTTGAATGACTTCTTGCACAAAATCCACTGTGCCTCATGAATGTTTCCTGGTTTTAGTCATGGAGAAAACTCTTGGCTGGAGACAATTTTGGTTACATTTACACTTGCTCATATTTTTCCAGACAAAGAGTTAATGGTGCATCTCCCAAATGTCCCGGCCGCAACAACGCTTTTATTGGTTTCGCCATCGGATATTATGGAACCAATTATTTTTAAATACAAAAAAAAAAGGTCAGTTTTAATGTTTTATTTAGATTACAAAAATAAATCATAATAAAAATAAACCTATTTATGATGTTTTAAAAATTAAGACCTATGAAAGACTGATTTAAGACATTTTAATACCAATTAAGGCCTTAATTTTATTTTGAAGAATTCAATGCCTTTTAAGACTTTTTAAGGACCCGCGGGAACCCTGGTAACAACTACATGGTGTTTGCTGGTCAGCCCCCCATTTGGTAATGTCTTCAGGCAACCTATTTGCTGTATTTGCAGCTCTCTGGCTTGAAGTCATCTTGAGAGCATCTTTCCTGCTCATTTGACTGGGAAAGTCCCATGCGTTACTATAAAATGAATTGATTTCATTTCCCAGACATCGATTTTGCAAAAATGTAAAGGAATCGATTTTTTTACCCAGCCCTAATCACAACTCAATCTGTCTGCTCTGGCTATTAATTCTCCCCCAGTCTTTCTCTGATCTCTTGGGGCGTGAAACAGGCTTATAATTATGGGGTTGTGGTCCATCTATGTCCCAAAAGCGAAGATTTTCACATACTTTGCAAGTGGGAAAACCTGCAAAATTTGCATTGTACAAGATTGGTTTCTTCCCATCACGCATACCACTTGATCCTTACCACAGCTAGCAACATTGAGAGGTGTCCCATCTTCAGCTCACCCTCCCTTTGTGGTTCCAATACAGAGAAGGAGTAAACATCTCCAGACTTGTCAGCAACCAGCAGCTCATCCTCAGCCTGGCTGAACACCATTGATGTACACCTCCTCGTCACCCACCTGTGTAACACACACACACACACACACACACACACACACACACACACACACACACACACACACACACACACACACACACACACACACACACACACACACACACACACACAATTGTGTGGACATGCGCTGCATACTGTACAAACAGAAGCTGCTGCTGTTTGAACCTTACTAAGAGTAGCTACAGTTGTAAAGATGCATTAGCAACAAACTCGGCAAACTGTCAGCATGGTTCTACTGTGGTTCTGTTGCTCGACATACCCTCTCAAACAACCCATGAGGCTAATAGTAACACTGCTGTGAGATTCATATACATTTTCTAAAGTCCACATGTATTTGACCATTTTTTCTGGAATCTTTTTGCTGCTGTAAATACCAGAATTTCACTATTACTGGACAAAGGGATTTCCTATTCCATTCTATTCTGTCTTCACTGCATCATAAAATGTGAGGAGGGTACTGAATGTGATTGGGAAGCCGAACAATGGCTGGAATCCCAGGTTAACTAGATTCTCTCCACATTTGGGAGTTTCCCTTCTTTGTTCAGCCACTGCTGCTTTATCTTAATCAAGGAAAGTTGCTTTTGACTGGCTTTTTTTTTTTTTTTTTTTTTTACTGAGCACAGTCTTACAGCATGATGTTCACATTTTCATAGCACATGAATCTGTGAAAATAAGGGGTATGTCTTTAAAAACCAAGCTAATAACAAGCATCATCTGACAAAATTGGACTTCAGCTACAACACGCATATCTTGGAGATAAAAAAAAAAAGTTATTTTTGTGAACAATGTGCTCTTCAAAATCTGGTATAGACTCGGACTCACTGTGTACTTGCAGCTAGGTAAACACATATGTTACCGCCCCTTCACCAGATAGAGAGAAAACTTTGAAGACAGGAATGGAGTACAAAATAGATGGTCTTGTCGAGCCGAAATTGACTTTTTTTTCCCCTACAGCAGGCATCCCCAAAGTCGGTTCTCGAGGGCCGCTGTCCTGCAGGTTTTAGAGGTTTCCTTGCTCCAGCACAGCGGATTTTAATTGAAAGCTCATTAACAGGGTTTTGCTCAACTGCAATCATCATAATCAGCTGTGTTAAAGCAGGGAAACCTCAAAAACCCACAGGACAGCTGCCCTCGAGGACCGACTTTGGGGATGCTTGCCCTATAGGATGCAGCATCATTGCTGTGCTGGTGGATCACTGCAGATGCAGGTGAATCAAAGCATTGTTTCACTGGGTTAATTTGATAGTTTGCATATTAGAGATATGAACTTTGCCTCTGAATACAGCGGAAAGGGTTAGTAAAGACACAAGAAAGAAAGAAGATAAGTGTAAGGTAGGGGTAGCTTTCACATACCCCCACTATTTAAAGAGCACAGTAATTGCCATGTTATTTGATTTTATATTAGCCACCCTTTAATTAAGCAAACTGCAGCATGGACACTCTTGCTGAATGGAAGAACTATCAAGACAACTGACTATGATATTGTCAACTGTATACATAGAAGCACAAACAAGGACTGTAACTTTCCACAGGCCTAACCCACATACAAATATCCAAATGTGTACCTGATGCTGATGCAGTGCCACAAAGGCTCGCTCTGAAATAAAACCAGCCGCTTGTTGTCATCAGTTAATGCCATTAGTTTTCCAGAAGCAGACACTGCGAAAGAAAGGACCTTGTCACTTCCTGTGTCCTCTGAAGCATCACCATCACTGAGGATAGAAAAGACAGTTTTCACTGTAAAACTGATTCAATCTTATACTTAGATACAAACTTTCTCTAATGTAATCTTTATACCTGCTATTTACAACATTTACACCTTTGGGTCTCTTTTCAGCAGAGCTGCAGTCAAACACAAATGGCTTTCTGCAAAATAGCACAAAGTAGTTAGTGCATTGGATCTGAATGATGTCAAAGTAGGGCTGGGCGATATAGAAAAAAAGCTCATCGATAAAAAAAAATGCATATTGATCGATAATTATTGAAAAGATTTGAAACCATATTTTATGTGCAGCTCTGCCTGGACTTTTTATAATATTGCTAAATGATTTAATTTTAATAAAAAACACAAACACAGACTTAATTAAATCTTTATTTAACCAACTTTTTTAACCATAACAGAATTGTTTTAAAGAAAAATAACTTAAGAGTCCTGGGTTATGTTATTAAACACTGACAAAGAATAAACTAAAGTGACCAGAAAAGTGACCAAAATAAATATAACAAATAAATAAATGCCCCCCCACCGCCGCCCCCGTTTCCTGCTTTAACCTGAGTTATTACTTTGAATTTCATATGTCGGTTCTTTACTTTTCTACATAACAAACCACTAATTGTTTAAAATTACTTAATTCAGAATTTTTTGGGTTATCCATAAGTACTGAACTTAGCTGAATCGAGCCACAAAACTACTGTAAATAGCAGTTTCAGCTGACGCTCTTATAAGTGGCGTAGTAGCACAGGCACACTTAGTAGGGTTAACTAAGCGCACCCTTTCCGAGACTGTCGTTCTATTGGCTGGAAAGGTTGCTAGGCGACGATCCAACTGCAATCCACGAGAGAGCAAAAAAAATCCGCAAGCAGAGCCTACGGGTTTGCAAGCGTATTTGAGACTCGAGCAGAGCGCAGTTTGTGCGCGAAGAGAAGGAGGCAAGCGAGAGGAGAAAATATCTGTGCAAGAAGCATTAAATCTGAGAAAAGAAACAAAGATTTGAGAGAGAAGAGAAAATATTTGAGAGAGAGCGCATGTTTTGAGTGTGAGCATTATAAGTTTTGAGTGCAAGAAGATGAAATTCTTTTCTCAAATTGAAAATTTGTGCTCTTGCATTATGGCAGGATAATTTCCCCATACATTTCATTTCTTTCACAACCCTCACAAAAATTATTATTACTCTTCCCTAGTACAAACAAAACTCATTCAAGTAGGTATGTCCAGTTCTTAATCTAGTATAAATTATCTCTTACTTCTGCTTCTTTCTCCAGAATTTTTTTTAATCACAGACTTTTGAACCTTAACAGTTTCTTCCCCACTGCCATTAGACTGCTGAATGTTTTGTAGAATGGGTTATTGAATTGAATTTATTATATTTTATCATTATTTATATCTAAAATAATAAAAAAAAATGTTAGGACTGTAAATTTACAGTCATTTTTACTATTTTTCAACGCTGCACTTTTAAAAGATGAATTTGTCCAGTGAGCTGTTTCCAAACAAAATTTATTTTTGTTTTACACCTGTGTAAACAAAATAACAGATAAAATCTGTCTAAAGTCTATATAATCTTCTTCCCTTCTCATCTTCATCCCATATTTTTTTTTGCCATATTTCTGTTTCTTTCTTTTTAATAATTAATTTACCTTCCCCTTTCCCAAACGGGATCTGATCTATATTCTGCTTTCCTAAAGCCTCTTTAGCTATCTTGTCTGCCATTTCATTTCCTCTCACCCCTTCGTGTGCTGGAAACCAACAGAACTGTACATCTATTCCATACCTAAATAACTTAAACCTAAACAAACTCTGATGAATTTCTAGTACAAGGTCTTTCCCATTTCCTTCTGAATGAATCCTTTCTATTGCAGCTTTAGAATCCGTGCAAATCACCACCCTGTCCGGTCTAACCTCCTCCACCCGCTGTAAACTAATAATAATTGCTACCATTTCTGCTGTGTATATAGATACAAGGTCTGTTAATCTTTACCATAAACATATATTACACTCTGGAATGAATATCCCTATTCCCACATTTTCTTTTGTATTTTTTAACCATCTGTGTAAATTAAATAAATTACAGTAAATAACTATAACACAATTGTCTAATATATGCTAGCTTTAACCCCAACTTCATTAGGTTTCCATTCTCTTTTCATTTCATATATTTTTAAGTCAACGTTTGTTTCTGCAAACAAACATGGTGGTACAGCACTGATTGTGTTATTTTTAGAGAATTTCTTATCATCCAACTCATATATTTTTGCTGTTCAACCAAAGCCCTTTCTTGTAAATTTGGAATATTTCCAACAGTTCTTAATAATGTTTGCTGCTGGGTTTTCTTCACTACTGCTTTTAATTCTGATCCAATACGAAAGTGACATTTTGACCCCTCTCATTTCTAAAGGACTTTCTCCAGCCTTTATTAAAAGAGCATTAATGGGGGTAGTTTTAGTTGCTCCAGGAATAATACGTAATGCCCTATATTGTAATTTATCTGCTATTTGTAGCAATGATTTTGCTGCTGCTCCATATACCATAAATCCATTATCTATTGCTGATTTCAAAAGTGCCCTGTAGATGTTCAATAGTGACTGCTTATCACCCCCCCAATCATTCCCAGCCACAGCTTTCATGAGGTTTATTACTTTCTTTCCTTTTGTTTCTAACTGATTAATATGCATCTTCCATGTATATGAACTATCTAACCATAATCCTAAATATTTGAATTCTGCCGCTCTTTTAATAGAGTGATCATATAATTTTATTTCTCCTATATCAATATTTATTTTATTACTGAAAATCATATAACAGGATTTACTTAGTGACAATTTGAATCCCCATTCATATGACCATTTTTCTATTTTATTAACTGCTCTCTTTATATTTTTAACTACATACGAGACATTCCTTCCCCTCGACCGTATGGCTCCATCATCTGCATAAAGGGCTGATTTAATGGATTCATCTAGATTTAAGAATATATCATTAATCATAATATTGAAAAGTACAGGACTAATTACACTCCCTTGAGGAATGCCGTTTTCTATTTTAAAAATCTTTTGAGTATTCCACACAAAACTTTTACTCTAATTTCCCTATCTGTAAAGAAACTTGCTATCTAGTTATACATTCTACCACCTATTCCTTTATTTTCTAACTTATTCAATAAACCTTCACTCCACATTGAGTCATATGCTTTTTCTAAGTCAAAGAATACTGCTATTATCGATTCTCTAATTTTTAGTGCTTTTTCTATGTCAGAAGTCTACAGTCATGTATAAGAGTAGATTTTGAATGCCCAGCAGATACTATCACCACCGACGACAGCGTTCAGATAGATGTTCTGCACCATGTGGCTAACTACTCACGTGGAAGAGTTGTGTCTCTCCTTCCTTTTTTCCCGGTGGCAGCGAACAAAACCTCAAATAATTAAATCAGTTCCTACCTGTGCTCTTTGGTGTGAATCGCTACGACTTTGCTACCGCATGCTGAAAGAAACCACTCTCCATAGAAACCCACGAAAGACATGGCTCAGTGCCCCAGACACTTAAGGCCTGCTTGTCGAGTGACCTAAAAGGAAATTAGCTTACTAGCAACGTCTTCTTTTTGTGTTCTTTATTGGCGTTTGGTAAAAAAAAAACTATAAAGGAGGGCATTTACCGCCACCAACTGGCGTGGAGTGTGGCTCATCTTTAAATAATATCAAAAGTTACCGTTCTTAACTGAAATTCTATTAACCAGTTGTGTTTTCTTTAAAAAAATAACATATATAATTATAATTTGTATAGACTTGTTCCAAAGCTTCTTTGTTATGTGTCTTCTATATCAACTCTTTCTTTATTTCTTTGAAATGCTGTCCTCATGTCTCTTCTTTCTTGTTCATATTTCAGACATCTCAATAAAACATGTTGTATTGATTTCTTCTCTCCACAATATTCATACTTTCTAGCAGCATGCTTTTGTATTTTAAACAGTTTGGAATTGAGGCCTATGTGTCCAAATCTTAATGTGGTTATTAATGGGTGAGAGGTGGCCTAATGGTTAGGGCATAGGGCTTTGAATCCTGAGGTTGTGATTTCGATCTCCCACAGACTGCCACTCTAGCTCCCTCAGCAAGACCCTTAACCCCACACTGCTCCCTGGGCGCCACGTAATGGCAGCCCACTACTCCCCAAGGGGATGAGAAGTAATTTCCCGCTGGGATTATTTGAGTACATATAAAATATATATATAGATATATATATACTTTTCTTCCTTTCTATTCCTTCTTCAATTTCTTTTTTTTCCTGCTTTCTTTTTTATAAATAAAAAACATCTTCTGTAAATTTCTCCACACTGCCTTTTCTGCCACTCTCCAGATATTGTTTAAATATACATTTACCATCTGATTTGCTGAACTCAACTACAAAAGTTCACAATATTTCTAACTGCTCTATTTGCATCTGATCTCCCATTTCATTTCCTTTTATGCCAAAATGTGCTGGTACCCATAGAAATATCATTGTTAATACATACTTTCTAATGTAAGTATTGTATGCAATATTTCCGGAAAAAATGTCTAGCCTACTTTCTGAATGATTATGTCCTAAACTCAGCAATACAGAACTTGAATCAGAAAAAAATATATATTGTAATCCTCTTTCTTATTTCTACATGAAATTCTGGTATAACAAAAGTTATTCGTACTTCTTCAACCCTTTTTGATGCATCTGTATAGATCTTAACATACTGATAATAATTGTTTATGTATCCTTGTATTATATTTGAGTTTAAATTGCATTTCTTATAATTTCCTTTTCATCAATGTCATATGTACCATCTGTTTATCAAAGTATTAAGTTTCGGATGATCCAGGTTATCTTAAATTAAACCAATAGGTTATTGCCAATTGTGCTCTTCTCAGATGTAATTGTATGTCACCAATTTCGCCTGGAGTGCTGCTATTAGGTTAGTTTTAAATGCATCTGTACAAAGTCCAGTACTCAAATAGTTAAGCCCTGAGGGATGATGGTCTTAGGAGAAAATTCCACCTGAAATTACTGCAAGTACAGCTCCTAAACTATAAATTGAAAATATGATTATTTGTATTTGTATGACAGAAAGGCATTGAGGAATATTTTTCAGGTGGAACCAATATTTGAATTGTCACCATGTCCGATTTATAGGTGATTAAACAAAGTATAAATGAAAAATGTCTAGTTTGCCAAAATGTATACCAAAATAAACACTCCACCATGAACACCATAAAAACCCATTTTAAACTCTGGATGAACCATCAGACTATAACTCAAGCAAATTTGGAATGAATAAGTTGGAGGATGCATGTTCCACAAAGGAAAATTATTTTGATACAATTGTACCAAAAGTGGCCAGATTTTTGCCAAATGCATTTTTCCACTCATTAAAGGGAATCTGGTAAGACAAATATGCTGATTTACATTATTGGAGACCTTCTGCATGACACAAAGCATTTTTTTACTAAGATTTAGCAATTGTTTTATTGAAATTAAGCATTGAATACACAATGTCATTAAACTGAAAAGAAAATAATACAAATTGTGTAATTTTTGTCATCAAACAGGGATATTTAATTGAAAACAAGAATTAGAAATCCAAAAACTACAAAAATCTAAAAATAAATGATAATCCGGAGCTTCTGTCAAGAAAATGTGTAAAAAAAATTATTGTTATAAAAACAATTTCAAGAAAAAAAATCTAATGTAAATGGATGTGTGAAAATATAAGAATAAAGCTTTGTAAACAAATTTGCCAAAACAAACTATGAACAGAGTAATTATGTAAATGCATGTGTAAAAAGCAATTTTAAATAAAACATGGAAATAATGTGCAGAAATATGTTGTCAATAACAAAAATGTAAAGATCCACTAAAAACAAACATGGGTAACAATATGTGCAGAAAACAACAAATTTGGGGACATGGAGGACGCTTCGGGGAAAATGTGGGTGCAGGTGGCTCGGTGTCAGGGTGGTCTGGACTGTGCCAAATGTCCCTGACATCAGTCACTAGTATAGCAAGACAAACCTGCTTTCTAGCTTTCGTCAGTCCTTTCTTGGTGCAGATGAAGGAGTCCTTTTTGTTGGAGCAGAAGGAGCCTTGTGCTTTCCAGGTTTTGAGAATAAACGTAGCTGCCTAGAAGTTGGTTGGTACTCATCCTCTTCTGAAGCATCATCGCTGTAAAACCAATCAAATATATGTTAAAGAATATATTTCCTTTGAAAACAACAATAATTGTAGTTGCATCTGATAATGCCTTCTAATCATCATAGGAACATAAATCTAAGGAAGTTGTTGTACATCAGGACTAACATATGTATTTTCAGATTTTTGCAAAATAGACATCTCACCTTGAAGATGATGAAGTCTCAGCTGTGGCGGGGGACTTGCCCTGCTGTATTTGTGATGGTCCCAGGACATCCTCGGGACAATAAAAATAAAAGTTTATTGCAACAAATTAGTTTATTACACACAATACTAAATGTACTAGCGGAATAACAGTTGGTATTTCAAACTGTACAACTTTCCCTGAATTAATCTCACATACAGTACACCTGGATCCCTTGTTCTGCAGCTAGCAGATGGATGATGGGACACTATAAATAAATAAAAAATCCAGTGAAAGCAGCACATAAAGCGAAGCAGCTTTTCCTCATCCTTGTCAACCTATCCAAACAACCATAAAATACATAAATATATGAAGAACGTGAATATTGTAAATTTATTTTTTCCAGTTTTTCTTTTAATTGTCATTACAGTCACAAGTACAGAGCAACAAAATTAACTTTCTGCATATAACCCATCCCCTTTGGGAGCAGTGGGCTGCCATTGTATGGCACCCGGGACGCAGTGGATTGCTAATTACCCTTTGGTAGTATCTGGTTAAAGTAAAGCGGCCGCCATATTGGTACTCCCTAGTTAGACCGGTCGCAATGTAAACAATATGTGCGCTACTGCAACAAACAAAGATGATCTAATTTTCAGGGGGACTTTTAAAATAAAGATAAATTCAGTGCATTGACACACACTTGCTGTTATGTCAAGGCATAAGTTGATTACTTTAACTTACAATAAAAAAAATAGGCACGTCACATTGCACAGTCATTATGAGGTCAATGAGGTCTCTAAATCATGTAATATCATATTATACATATCCATTACAACAAAATTATTGTGTTAATTTAGTGTAAAAATACTGAAGTGCCAAAAGTTCTAAATTGATGTACATTTAATATACATATATTGATGACGTTATTGTTGTTTGAAAAGTATTACAAATAATTTCATGATCATGAATGATGGCATATACTTTTATGATCTGTCTGTGTTTTAGCCTTTAAAAACGTTTGAGTTGCTTTTTTTTCCATCATTATAACATGCAATATATTTCAGTGCATAACTTTTTAAAATGAGAAATACATCAGAAACGGCAGTGTCAACCATTTAATGAAGATTTACTACACTGACACTTTGCTACTGAGCAGCCTGGTTAGCACATTAGGAGCTTTTACACACACAGCAAGCCTATGTTGTGTAGCAAGTGTGCAACACTAATGTTGCAGGCTCTCCAGCCTATTGTTCTACAAGCTGAAAACTAACAATATAAAGTAGATTTGAGCAGATGTTTTTGGTTACAAGCTTCAAATCAGAAGTTGAGGCCAAAATGCTCTTTTCACAGTGAGATAAAGCCATTTTGGCCTGTGGAGTTGTAACAGACAAACCATTAATGATACAGCCATGATCCTTTCTGGCAATCACCTAGAGCTGAAAACTAACAATATAAAGTAGATTTGAGCA